AGATGATTTCAGGATGTGTTTTCAGGAGGATGCTTTTGGGGAAGATGTTTTAGGGAGGATGTTTTCGGTAGAGGCTTTCAGAAAGATGCTTTTGAGAGATGCCTTCAGGAGCTGCTTTCAGTGGTGGTGGTGGGGGGGTGATTTCAGGAAAGGCTTTCAGGAAAATGCTTTTGGGAGGTGGTTTCAGTGAGATGTTTGGGTAGATGCTTTCAGGAAGATGCTTTCAGAAGATGCTCCACCATCTCTGCTGCTCTCCAGGTCAGGTACAGGGCCTGCAGAGGGGACTCTCCACGAGCAGGGACACCTTCCACCAGCCCAGGCTGCTCCAAGCCCCGTCCAACCTGGCCTTGGACACTTCCAGGGATCCAGGGGCAGCCACAGCTTCTCTGCCCAACCTATGCCAGGGCTGCCTCCACACCTAAGAAGTCCATCCCTGGATTTCCAGCTGAAGGAGTTCAGGGCAGCACAGCAAGGCAGAGGCACAGATGGATTAGCTGTCCCCTGCCTCCTCCCTGCTGCTCTGAGTTACAGGAAGGTCTCCCAGCCTTTGTCCTGCACAGCCCTGTTGTGGTTGATTTATAACGTTGCAAGCTGCAAACTGGCAGGTTCAGGAAAATCCAGGTGCTTTGTTACAGCACTGAAGAGTGTTTGCACCCTCCCTCAGAGCCAAAAGAGGCCAATTCCCTGTTTCATTTGCAAAGGTAACAGAGATGGCTCTGGAGGCAACCTGATATACAGTTTTAATAACAGCCAGCGAGGAGCAGAGTCCCATCTTTGCTTTCTCACTTATTCATGTTTTAATACAGCACCAAATCAACTTTTAATGAAAGAAAAAAGCAGGTGCTGCCATGGCTCTGGGTTCTGGTCACGTATGTGGCCAGGCAGGATGTGAGGGGAGCTTTGCTGCTCGCCCAGAATGAGCCAGGACTCAGATCCCGTGTGCTGGTCAGGGCAGTGAGGATAAGCAGCTCTTTGGGGCAGTAGTGCTGTTGAAGATGGAAGAGCATTTCCAGTTAGAGTGGCCAGGAAAGCTCTCACTTATCCAGTGCTTAGAGGATAATTAGGAAGAAATCCTTCCCTGGGAGGGTGGGCAGGCCCTGGCACAGGTTGCCCAGAGAAGCTGTGGCTGCCCCTGGATCCCTGGAAGTGTCCAAGGCCAGGTTGGACGGGGCTGGGAGCAACCTGGGCTGGTGGAAGGTGTCCCTGCCTGTGGCTGGGGGTGGCACTGGATGGTTTTTAAGGCCCTTTCCAACCCAACCCATTCCATGATTCTATGACCATCCTTTAGAAGCATTTTCCATTTGAATATTTTTGGTTTTCTTTCAAGGAGCCTTTTTTTTTTCTTCTTCTTCTTTTTAATTGCTTTCATTGCTTTCATTTCACACCCCATTATAAATCCAAGCACAATATTCAATCCACTGAAATCTAATAAAAATTTCAATTTTCTCTATATATTAAAAAGCCATTTAACCAAGCTGAAGCTACTTTGGAAGGGATCAGCTTTCATTTCAGGGGAAACATCAGCATTCAACATTATGCTCCCATTTGCAAAGGTGGACTCCTTGAAGTAGCTGAGTGGAGCTCAGAGTCCCCAGTTTGAAGACACTGGCAGTGAGAATTTAAGTGACAGATGAGTCCAAAAACAACTGGGGAAAGGCTGAGAAATGGAGGGAGACTTTTAGGACCATGGTAACCTTAACCAAAGTCTTTTTCCACATCTGCAGCTGGGTCAGGGAAGCTGAGGAGGGTCTGGAGCAGCTGAGGGAGCTGGGGGGGCTCAGCCTGGAGAAAAGGAGGCTCAGGGGGGACCTTCTGGCTCTGCAATCCCTGACAAGAGGGGGGAGCCGGGGGGGGGAGTTTGGGCTCTGCTCCCAGGGAACAGGGACAGGAGGAGAGGGAACAGCATAAGTTTCACCAAAAGAGGCTTAGATTGAATAGTAGGGATAATTCCTTCATGGAAAGGGTTGTCCAGCCCTGGCACAGCTGCCCAGGGCAGGGGTGGAGTCCCCATCCCTGGAGGGATTTCGAACCCTGTGGATGTGGCACTTGGGGACATGGGGCAGTGACAACCTTGGCAGTGCTGGGTTAATGGTCGGACTCCAATCTCAGACGACTTTTCCAACCTAAAAGATTCTGTGATTCCAAGACAAACCACTTCCCTGGACTGCAGCCATCACTGCTTTTTTGCTTGTGGGTTTTTGGTGGTTTTTTTTTTTCCCTTTTCCCATTCAAGCCCGGAGGGAAAAACAACAAACCATCAGAAAACGCAGCGACATCCAAGGCTGTGGCCCGGGGCTGAGGGGACCACGTGCTGAGCCCCAAAGCATCTCCCCTCATCTTTCAAACATCCCATTGCCCTGTCTGTAAGGCCAGTCCCGACTCCCCCGGTGCAAACCTCCCCCTGAGCCGTGGGAGGGCTCGGGTGGGGCTGTGGGAGCAGAAGGGCTCACACAGGTTTGGGGGGGGTTCCTTCTCCACGTCTTTTCCCTCCCCGAATGAAACCGTTCGCCGGTGTTTCGGGATGGGATGGATCGCTCTCCCTGAGTGTTGCAGTGAGGTTTGGAGACACGAGAGGGCAGGCACAGGCTGCAAAAAGGGAGGGAGGGATGCGCTCCGCTCGCGTGTCCCTCAGCCGGCCTGGCCCCGCTGTCCCCTCCACCGCCCCGTCTCTGTAAAGGGGGGGAAAAGGGGATTTTCCTCAGGGATTTGCGTTCTGCCCCTGCCTGACTCTTCTGCCTGAAGCAGATCTGAAACAGTGACGTCTGTGAGCGGGATGAGGTTGGGCTACGAGCTCCCAAAGCATCACCCTGCAGGGATGCTCTGCAGTTCCCTGGGTGTTCCTGAGTGCAGGTGTCCTCTGCCACCTCAAGGGGTTTTATGGGACCAGCCAGGCTGCTCTACCCCCACCCTGAGCACCCCCAGCGCCGAGGCTGCTCCCAGGGGTGGTGAGAGGTGCCAACAACCCTTCCCAGCCCTTCCCACCCCTTTGGTGGTGCCGCCCCACGGTGCATCCCCAGGCACTGCTCCCCTTGGCTCTGGGGCTGATGGCACATCTTGGGCACAACCTGAGCCGCAGAGAGGGAGGGTGCCCATCCCTGGGAGTGTCCCAGGCCAGGTTGGACCAACCTGGGCGAGTGGAAGCAAACGTGCTGTGGCCCCTCTGTCCTCAGCTGCTTTAATTCTGGTTCTCAGGTTGGTTGGGTCTGCCTGGTCCTGCCTTCTCCACCCTCCTGGAAAGGGCGTGGCAAGGTTTGGACACCTCACCTTGGCCGAATGATGAGCAGCTCAGCCTGGGAGATGCTCCTGTGGGAATATCCACACCAGGGGATGCCACAGCCGGGCGTGCCTTTGGCTGCCAGGGCTAAAGGTGGCTTTGGAGGCAGCAAGAGCTGAAATGATCTCATCTCTGGGTGAAAAGCAGCAGGGTGGCTCATGGCCCAGGGGCAAGAGGGGTCCAGCATTGAGGGTGAAGCACCTGAAGGGGCCAGATGGTGGCAAGGCTGTTCCAGGGTCTGCTCTCCTGGTTATAACAGCACTCGGGGTTATAAATTCAGATACATTTTGCCCCATATCATCATTGGGCTTGGCCTTAAGGTAGTTCCATGGGTGGCTGAGCATCACAAGGCATCACCCTGCAGACTGTGACAGGTTCTGTCTGTGCCTGGAGCCTCTGCTCCCACCTCATCCCAGCTGGGAAAGTGCTGCCGTGGCCCTGGGGGCTGCACAGAGACAGAAATCCCGGGGTTTAATTCTGGATCTCAACAAAACCGGGCAAAAAATCCTGCCGTGCCCCGAGCCAGCGTGGAGTGTGGGGGGGTTACTCCAGACCCTGCTTGGATCCCTCTCATCCCTGGGCTGACCCCACCTCACTCCCATTCCTGCAGCGGGCACTAGGGATGCTCTCATGGTCGGAGGCATCGTCACAGGATCTGCAGCGTCTCTCGGGCAGGAAACCGTTCCCATTCGCCTCCTTTCCCCCCTCCTCCTCCTCCTCCTCCCCAACCTCCCGGCTGAGCGCACATCTGGGCGCGTCTTCCCCAAACACCTCCGTCACAGCTGCCTTCCAGCGGCGAACGGAACATCTGGAGATCCTGCTGGCTCCGAGCCCTCCCAGCCTGGCTGGGCTGAGCCCGAGGGGTGTGTTGGGGGGAGAGGGGGGGTGGGTTGAGCTCAGGGGGTGCAGGAGCTGCTCGGCACGGCCCCCCCGAGGCACAGCCACGTCCAGACTCGCCCCCGTCCCCCAAGGTTGGAGCTGGGGCGGGGGGGTTGCGATCGCAGCCCCCCATCCCTGCCCTGCCGCGGGGTTCGCTGTCGATGTGTGTGACTCAGGGCTCTCCCTCCGAGCCCTGCAGGGCAGGAAAGCTCTGAGGCGCAGAGAGGAGAGATGCTGCAGCCCCACCGAGTCTTGCCCTGCCCGATTTTCTCTCTGAGCTGCCGAGCGATGGAGAGGAGGCTTCATTCCGCTGCTGTCTCCCCTGCTCGTGTGGGAGTGTGTGTGTGTGTGTGTGCACGGAGCTGAGCGGCATCTCCCCCTCTTTCCTTTTAAATTTTTAGCCTTTCCTTTCCCCTCTCCCACTGGATTATCTGCCCACCTTTCCCCGAGAGAGACACAAATAACACCAGCAGCGGGGAGTGGGTTTCTGGGGTGGGATTTTCTGCCCAAAATGGAGGGGTGGGGAGGAGGAGAGACGCCTGAATCCTGCAGCTCCCATTGCCGGAGCTCGGGGAGCATCACCCGGTGGGTCCGAAGGCATCAGCTCCGGGAAGCAGCATCCTCGGCTTTCCGCACTAGTTAACAGCCTGAGCGCTGCCTCGGCTCGTTTTAAACTCGCTCGCTCGCTTAATCTCCTCTCCCCTCGGCCGTGTGTGCATGTCTGTGTGTGTGTGTGTGCGTGTGTGTGCAGGGGGAGGACTTTATTGCCATTGGCTCAGCTCTCGCTGCCCACCCACCTCTCTTCCACATCACCTTGGTGTCTCCCTAAATAAAACCAGCCCTCCTTATCGCACCGAGGAAATCAAGAGCGAGAGTTTGAATGGATTCGATATAAATATTTACCCCGGCGGAGCCGCCGCTGAGCTGGCGGGATAAACTCGCGGCAGCTGCTCTCACTCTCCTTCTCTCGCCCGCCCCTTAAAGGGTCTCATCACTTGGCAGAGGGGAGGGAGATCCAGATCCCGGTTCTGGCTGCAGACTGACCCCCAAAAAAAGCAGCGCCGGGCTTGAACTTAGCGATGGATCTGAAGGACAGCACCAGCGAGGGCAGCATGGGCAGCCTGCAGCCCTCCAGCATCCAGATCTTTGCCAACACCACCACGCTCCACGGGCTGCGCCACGTCTTCGTCTACGGCCCGGTGACCGTCCGGCGCCTGCTCTGGACCTTGGCCTTCGTGGGCTCGCTGGGGCTGCTCCTGGTGGAGAGCTCGGACAGGGTGGCTTTCTACTTCTCCTACCAGCACGTGACCAAAGTGGACGAGGTGGTGGCCAACAGCCTGGTGTTCCCCGCCGTCACCATCTGCAACCTCAACGAGTTCCGCTTCTCCCGCCTCACCACCAACGACCTGTACCACGCCGGGGAGCTGCTGGCCCTGCTCGACGTCAACCTGCAGATCCCCAACCCCCACCTGGCCGACCCCGCCGTGCTGGCCATCCTGCAGGAGAAGGCCAACTTCAAGCACTACAAGCCCAAAGTGTTCAGCATGCAGGAGTTCCTGGCGCGGGTGGGCCACGACCTGAAGGATATGATGCTGTACTGCAAGTTCAAGGGGCAGGAGTGCAACCACGAGGACTTCAAAACTGTGAGTATGAGCAGGCACTCTGCTTTTCCTCTTCTCTGGGGGCGTGTGGATGGTGGTGTTTGCAGGTGCTGGGGCGGCGCTGGAGGTCACTGGCGAAAGCCCTGTGGGCACGGTGTGGTGGGGGAGCGGCCGCCAGGCTCTGGCGTGGCAGAGGAGGAGCAGGAGCAGCCTGTTGAGCTGAAGTTTGTTTGTTGGAGTCCTAACAGGGGGTGGGTTTTGTGGGGCCAGACCCGCCAAGGGTCCATCCTCCATCCTGCATGAGGCCCGTGGCACCAGGGTGGCTGTTTGGTGTCAGAGCAGATGGCATTGGATGGGTCCTGCTGAGCATCACGGGGGGGCTTAGGGGGGTCTCTTGCTTTGGGCACTGGATTGTCAGGAGCTGAAGGAAGCAGAAAGGGCTGGAAAGGGGCCAGCAAGAAGGGCAGGGGCTGCTCTGAGTGGTGTCCAGCTGTCTTGCCCCGGGTGTTTGGAGCTGTGCTGGAATTGTGGAAGGGGAGGTTTTTCTGCTTGTTCCTGGTGTTTTGTGGCTCGTAGATCTTGGTTTGCTGACGAGTGTGGGCAGCAGCTGGGTACCTCCCTGGTGCTGTGCCGTTCCTGGTGCTGTGCTGGAGTGGAGAGAAGAGGGGGAAGAAGGAAGAGGGAAAGAAATGAGGCTGAGCTCTGATCCCAGTCTGCTCCAAGGCTGGGGGAGGTGGAGCGAGCCGGGTACTTGAGCATCCTGAGGGAAGCAGACACTGCTCAGTTCCAGCTCCTGGCTGGCACCCTGCTGGCAGTGCAGGCTGCCCTGGGTGCCTGGGCTGGCAGAAAGTGTCAGGGTAAAATTAAAAGAACAAGCAGGTGGTGTGGAAGAAGTGGTGCCCCCCCTGTGCTGCCGGGGCAGGCAAAGGGGCTGCTGAGGGGGCTGCTCCCCCAGGCTGGGGGTTTGAGTCCCATCCTGGCTGAGATGTGGGGGTGCTGGGGGGGCTGGGTAAGTCCCACTGTGCTCTCAGGCCAGTCCCTTGGCACTGACTGAGCTGTCTGGGAGGGTCGGTGTTCCTGGAGGCAGGAACGCTCCAGCTCTCAGGTGGTTGTTTCTCTCTGCTTGTTCTGCTCACTGCCCTGAGTCCTGGCAGGTTTTGTGCTGGTCTGGTTCGTCAGCAGGATCTTTGTCTGGTTATGTGGGCAGGATCTTTGCCTGGTTTTAGGAGAAGGGAGTGTTTTCTGTCTCTGCTGCTTCTGGATCTCCCAGCAAACAAGCCCAACTGAGTCCTGCTTCAGAGTCGCTGCCATCACCCGGACTGTGCCATCTCTAAACCTCTGAGCAGGAGCATTTCATGCCTCAGTTTTTGCCTGTGCATAACCCTGATGCCTTGGCCTGGATATCCAGGCAAACCACCCCCTTGTTTGGGCTCCCTGGGCAGGTCTGAGCACGGGTTGGGGGGTCAGGTGGGTCACAAGAAGGGGTCAACAAAGCCCCAAGGAGAGGGGCTGGAGTATGGGATGGAGAAGGAGACAAAGGTGCCAAAGTCCAGGGGACAGAAGAGTTGGGGAGTGAGGACAGATCCCAGCAGGATGGACAGACCTCCCTTACCCGTAGTGAGGGCGTGGGGAGCAGGAGCTGTTTTGCCCGTGGGCTTCCCAATAATGCAACAAGCACCAGCCAAAAGCAAAAGCCTCAAAGCCAGGGAGCAAACAACACCTCCAAAACCTCTGCAGGCCTTAAAAAAAGGCAGGTCCTTTTCTCAGAGAAGGCAGGAGCTCTTGGCAGCCCCCCCTGGGACACAGTGGGGTGTCAGCCCTGGCCAGTTAGTTTTTCGAGGTAGCTGCTCCTGAAACAATGATTTATTTCCTTTTTTTTTTTTTCCCCGGGGGGGTATACAGTAGTTTCCAGAAAGACAAACATTCCCTGTCTGCCAAAGAAATGCTCTGCTAGAAGAGATCAGGGCCAGCTAGGAAAACAGAGGATATTATGGACTGACAGTGCTTGCCCTTGTCAAAGTGCTGGGGAGATCCAGTGCAATTCTTCAGCCCATTCTGCAAAGCAGGTCCTGGGTGACCCAGAAGACAACACTGCTTGCTGTGCCTCTAACAGGGGCAGGGGTTCAGTTCTCCCTGACTCCAGGTAATCCCTCAGGTTATGGAAATCCAGGAAGCATCGCTCAGCAGGGGCACAACAACCCTGCTCATCCTTCCAGATTTTACCTCTCAGAGATAAAAGGCAGCAAAAAAAAGTGTCTGCTTGAAGGATGAGTTGGTTTTTCCCCAGGGAGGAGCTGGAAAAGGTCTTTGAGCTGCCTCCAGGCTGAATCAGAACCTCACGTCCTGGCTGAATTTTGCATTTAATCACCACCAACCTGTTGCAGCTGCACTGGGGGCTCCGTGACAGCCCATCCCTCCTGCTGCAGCACCCACAGGAGAAGCATTCCCTCCCTGACTCGTTTCCTGAAGGGAAACAGGGGTGTAAATCCCAGAGCACTCCTGTGATACGTCAGCAGGGTGAAGAACTATCAGTGGTTTTGGTGTTTTTTTTTTTTCTGTACTCCCCAAATTCAGGCCCCTGGGAGCAGAAGAGGCAGGAGCTTTGCAGCAGGAGGCTGCACCAAAGCAGGAACTCTGCAATCAGGTGCTGCTGGAGGAGCCAGTGCAGCGCTTTTGGTGCATGGAGGGGGTTTGTGTGGTGTGCAGGGTGGCCCTGGAGAAAGCCCTGCTGCCTGGTGGGGAAGCAGGAGCTGGGAAGTGGCACTTGGAAAACACGACTTTACCCTCCTTCCTCCTCCACTTGCCTGTTTAAACTCTCTGTCGCTGCTTTATCAGCAGGAGTTGAGCTGTGTTTTCCCCTCCACTCCCTGTTTCCCCCCCAGGACAATCCTCTGAGACATCTCCCCAGGTTAAGGAGTGCCCAGGGGAGTGAGTCCCCCCAAGCTTTTCTTGCAGAGACCCCCCCAAAGGGACAGTGAGGACAGTGCTGGCATTGCCACAGAGCAGCAGATCAGATAGATAATGCAGAGCTCTGCTGTAGCAAAGCCATTCCCTTGGAATGTTTGGAATAGGAAAGCCTGAAAACAGCAGCAGCAGCCAAGGAAATCCCCTCCTTTGCTGTTCCATCCCCTGGGCGGTGGCAGGGGAGCCTTGGGGGAGAAACTGGTGCGTGGCACGGCAAAGATGTGGGAGAAAAATCTATGAAAACCCTTTCAGCCCACGGGGCAAGCCCAGAGTGATGGCCTGGGAGTGGATCCTGGGAATCTGAGCGGGAAATCTCAGTGTCACCTGGGTGAGAAACGCTCCTCAGCAGGCTGGGGCAGTGGGGGGGGGGTGTTTTCGGGTGTTCTGGTGGCAGAACATGTTCCCAGTGGGGTCATTTGCTAAATGCAGTGTGTGGACTGGGCTCCCTCACACATCCACTTCATTCCAGGTAACTCAGTAACGTCCCCTGGGCCTGCTCTATTTTCCTGGCCACGACAATTGAAGGATAGAACTCATTTATTTCCAATCCACATTCTTCTGACAGACAGGGGCCACATAATGGACAGGATCTCATGTGAATATTGCTATTTTAAGACTCAAGTTTCTGCCAATCTATCTGTCTTTTCCCATGCATATCTTTTCTCTCATTCTTTCCAGTGCATCCATGGGGTCAGTGAGGAGTGAATTGCTTTTGCTTTTTACACTAATTAGCCCATCCTCAACTCATTATACAACTTCCACTTCCCTCAGTAAAAACTAAATAATCACGATGGTGGCTGCTAGATTTGGGAGAGCTTTACTTCTCTGTTGAACAACTTTTCTGGAGCATCAGGACTCTCCCCAAAGTTTGCTGCAGAACCGGAGCTGCCGTAATGAGATCCATGATGACCTTTACACAAACGGGGGTTTTTCTCCTAAGAGACCAAATCCCTGTGCAGATATCTGGAGTTTGGAGGTGCTGTTGGAGTTCAGGGGTGGGTGCAGGGTCATTATGATTCCTCTGGTGGTGTCTAAACCGAGGTGGGTTGTTCCTGGGTCACACCCCTGGCTGATGTGCAAACCCTGCAGACCCTCGCTCTACTCAGTGGTTTTCTGGACTAAGTTTCTCTGTCCCCTGAGGATTTATGAGTGTGGAAGTGCTTCCCCCCTCCTTTGTATTTCCTTTATTTATCACAAACTGGGAGGATAATGCCTTCAGTTCAGGAGGTTTCATGGGGGGATGCCAGCTGGGCTGAACGTTCAGGAAAAAGATCTCCCTGGGTTTGGATGGTTAATGGGCTTAAAAAAAAATCTATCAAAGACAAGGCTGTAGAACTTCAGTGAGGTTTTTTTCGTGGCAAACCCAATTTTACATCCCTTAATACTGAAAGGGTGAAACAGGGACAGGTATTTCAGAAGTGAGGCTGCAGCTCATTGACTTGGGACATCGGTGCTACACACTGGAGAAGCTGAGACTCAGGAGACAACCAGCACAGTGATGAAAAAACCTCCTTAATGCCCTTTTAAAAGCTCTCTGCTTGGTGGTGGTTTGAGCTGTTTCTTGGCCCCTCCCTCGCTGGGCCTTTGGGATGGGGAATGACCCAAACAGCTGAGAGGTGTCAGAAATGGGCACTGCCAGAGTGTCAGAGAGAGCTTCAGCTGAGGAGGGAATGCTGAGCGAGAAGGGTGGTCATCAGGGTTTTAGGGACAGAGGAGACCTCTGAGGGCTGCAGGCCTTTATCAGAACGAGTCCAGGAAAGACAAGGAATGTATAAAAAAACCCAGCATGGTTTCCATCTGCAGAGGGAAGGTGGAACAACACACCTTGTCCTGACCTTCCCCCACCCACCACTCGTGCAAGTGCCCCTTGGAGACTTCTTGGCAAATAATAAATAACCCCCCCAGATGTTCCCTCTTTGAGGGAATCTTTGTGCTTATCTGACCAAGGGCAGTGGTGCCCTGTGGAAAAAAACTGTGATGTGAGTGCTGCAAACCCCTCAGTGGGTTTAAACACTCCCTGGAAGGTTCTGCCCACCAGGTCCATGATGCCCACAGACACAAACAGGTGAAACTCTGAC